TAGTGACAAACATCACCCAGTATCATGCTGTTGTTGAACAAGTTCCCAGGTGAGCGTCTATAGAATGAAAGTCACCACCAAGGATGACATTCCTCAACTGTACAACAAATCAAGCCAAACATTACAAAAAAAGCAATTTTGAGAACTGCAAAGGAAGGAATCCTTTACAACATCAGTATTTTACTGATAAGCAGGGACTACCAATATGCTAACACTCAATAAAAGTTGACATACAAGATTATTTTCATCTTAGTACAAATATCATTTCCAAGACACCTGCTCAACATGAACTTAAAAAGTCAACAAATTCTGCCCTCCATGTCTCCATCAACCTGTGCTTATCACCTATATATCCAAACTACTGCAACATATTATAATATTCCATAGTTATTAACAAATTGCTGCTTTAGGTAGCTGCAAGAAAAAGATGAACTAAAGACAAAGCCTCTTCTTGCAACAAGGTGATTTCAAAAAATGAAATAACCAGTATTAAGAAAGTCTGCTAAACATTGCCAAAGAGTATTTAAATACAATACAAAAGGTTTTATKTCAAGTAATAAAATAAACTATACATTAAAATTTCATAACTTGACAATATAGTATATAAATACTAGGACTACACATCATGCAACACTATTGCTAATATGTAATTGTACTGCAATGACAGCTACAGATTAATTCACCCAAGAACTTTTACGACATATAGAGAATAACACATCATCACACACACAACTTATATAAGGAAAATGCACAAGCTTCCTAGAAAGAAGGGAAAAGGACTTCATGGTTAATGTCAGCAGCAATCTGGAAAGCTTTGTCTTGTCAGTCATTCCTAAGGCAAGGAAGATGATACAGCATTCTCCTTTTCCAGCCTAATGAATCAACTAATAAATCATTTTGCAAAGCTAGCCACAAACCATATTTAAGTAMTTCAAGACTGTCTCATAAACAAAAATCAAGTAACAGCCCTCACTCCTGATTAGGGGCTGCAGGAAAAAGCAACCTGCCCAGAGCATCGGACCATCATAATCTGAACAATTATTGAATCATTACATTATAACCTCACACCATGAAGAGGGAAACACCTAAAACAACAGAAAAAAGCTTCCTTTAACACCTATGACTTTCTTAAATTAAGTTAAGGATCCCTCATGAACAGATCCTTCCCAAACTGATCCCTCAGGAACAGATCATTCCAAAATTGACTTAAGGCTGAAGCAGAGGCTTTATTCAGGAGAGAACTCATAAGACAGTGGATCCAAGCAGACAGTCCAGGCCACTGAATGGGGTAGTGCCCCTGCAACCCTTTCCTTGCTGTCACTGTACCTGCTAATAATCAACCCCAAGATGACAGTAATCAACTCACCAAATCAAGAGAAAATCTGCTCAGAAAAACTGCAAGTAAGTTCTTTGCTGCTGTTTAGCAAGCTAAACCAGCTTAACCAGAGGTTAAGCACTGCCAAAGACAAGAAGATAGGAAGGAGCACACACTGCCAAGAGGATCCTATACTGCCAGTCCACCATTTACAGCTGTCGCTAGGTCAGYTGAGTTCACGAAAATTTACCCCTTCTGGTTAATATGAGATTCATGGCACACATCTAACCTTACAGCCAAAGTAAAGGAGGACTGAAAGGGAAAGCCTACTGACAATCAGTGCAGTTAAGAACAATTATACAYTTATCTAAGTAAAGCAACCACATACCATTCCATCACAGTTTAACTTCTTACTAAATWATAGGTCCATTTCTTTTTTTTCTCTAAAAAATCAGAAAACAGTAGTTTTCTGGAAGTCTGCATTGCTTTACAAACACAAAGAGAGCTGGGAAGTTTCATTATAAAAATAATGCACTGGCTCATAATTGATGTGCTTTCTATGACACAGAAAACATAAAACACAGTAACACGTTTCATGACAATAGTAAAATTCAGTAGTAACATGGAAACATTAAACAGTAAAAATTCAGCTTCCTTCTTGAAGAGGAGAAGAACAAAATTGGGAGCAAATACCTTTTTGTATCAAAAAGTCTCTAGAGACAGCTTGAAATGCTGTACAAAAGTCTCTTGTCGCTCTACCAAACCATTAYAATTGTCTGTTTGTACTCCAATCTCCACACTACTGTCCTGGATGCCAGATCTAACTTCTCCACCAAGTGTCTTGGAAGAAGGATCAAGGTTACCTGGAAACAKTTTTCTTTATATAAGTTAAATCTCCTAAATACAACACACACATGAGCAGTTCACTTAAAAAGCTGACTTACAAACCAGACATAGAAGACACAASGTATTTAGGATTTAAGGGAAATTAAAACAAGAAAGATTAGCATTATTGATGTCAAGAAATATCCTTTCAAATGGCATCTTTGACTCAATATTACATTATTTATTCTTAAGTCTCATCCATGACTTAAGTGTTACTCTGCCCTAATGTGTACWGATATGAAATAGATTACTGATGCAAGAATTATCGCTAACAGACAGTCACTTAAAATAAAGTCCCGGTGGTTCTTTCACACATTTTAGGAAAAATATAGCATTTTCCCATCAAGAAAAGAAGTCATAAAAAAACTTAAAAAGAAAAAAATAAAAGCACAAAATCACAGTTAGCTGATATATTCACACAGCACAGATTCATTACATTCAACTCAATACTCTARTATGACTTAGCCAGAATGAAAATCATAATCTTAAAGTAATCAGGGAAAGTTTTTCAAGGTATACTTAAATAATTATGAACTAACAGTTAAAACTGATGTTATCAGCATCCGTATTACACAGAGAAGCACAAATAGGTTGGTCTTGAACAGATCAAGTCCCTCTGTCCATCCTGCCCYCAGGAACAGGAAGGAACACAGAATGTGATAGTTTGCTCAGTCTAAGGCAGAATTACATCCTGTCTGTTTAGGTAACAATAGGTCTCTTCCCTTTATGATAGCCACAAAATAGAACTTTTGATCCTGAAAAGTTCACATGATCAGTTGACAGACTGTCAGCCCGCTCCTGTTTCACTTTCATACACAGACAAAACAGTTACTTCCAAATGAAGTTTCCAAATAAATTCCAAACGTAAYGCAGATTTAAGACAGACCATCTTCCCATTCTCATTTAAAGCATTTTCCTTAGAGGGGGCCAGTCCATCTCAGCTCTTTCTTTAGATTCACCTTACTAATGTATTACACATATAGAATACACAGTATTATTTTAGATTGTTARTACTGTAAAAAGTCATTGAGATTAAATCTGTCCTAACCTGTATGTTTTACTCTATTCAGAGAAAACGCATTTCAGACTGTAATAGGTATAAATGCCTCAGAGCTCAAGAGTTCACAAACTCAAATTTCTCAGTTACTGTATATCATACCAGTAGCTTTTAGCATCTAAAAACATAACCAAATACTCAGCTCAAGGAGATTTCCATAATTTGATATAATTATTCTGCTCCTTATTTTCAATTAAATTCCAGGCTTTAGATTTTTATTTTTCAGAAGTGTGGCAAGARATGACTAAGAGAACTTGCAAGAATCACATGTACCATTACTAAACTACATAAAGGCCCGCTCTGTGAGCTGAGCGAACACTGCAGCTACTTTGCATGGAAAAAACAAACATAGCAGAACCCAAACACAACAACTTAAGATACAGATTTTCAGAGATAGTACTCCTCAGGATACCTTATAAAGACAGCAACTGTAAATAGCAAATACAGTTTGATGCTAAATACTCCTTGTATGCTTAAAGAAGCCATTGTCCAAGCACTATCTGAAACTTAACCAGATTATTAAAATTCATTAAAGAGTGAAACTAAAATACACACAGACACACTTCTTTATATAATTATACAGGACATATCAGATCTGTTAGGTCCAGTCAACAAATAACCACGAAGACATTAAACTCCTGCTGGTGGCTGACATTTCATACAAAGGAGTGCTAGGGGCACCACCTTAGGACACAGCAGATTCAGGTAGAATTCCTTGCTCATCCACGAGCTTCCTGCACAACCTTGTGTGAGTCTCAAGCTCTCTGTGCCCTCATCCCATGTTGAATAGAGGGCTAAGAGGAGGACGATTTCAAGGTACTCACATGACAGCAGCTGAGGCCCAAACATGTAAAATAATGGACACCCACTTTTTAAAACAAAACAGCTGACATTCATTATATCACTGCTTACACCTATTGGGAGTGACCCATGTTCACCTGACATGACAAATTCCAAATTATTCTCTCAATCCCGTAAAACCAAGCGTTTGTTCATAAGTATGGTGACCCAAGAGATCAAATGCATGCACTGTCCTGCTTCCAATAATAACAGCAAAGGAGTCTCTCTTTCAAATAAATCAATCCTTCCTTCTTTTTTTTCCTGCAAAGCAAACTTTCTCTCTGGTAAYTATCTGATATTTAAGACTCATCTCATTGCACCGCTCCCATTTAGAAACAATCCTAAAATCAACCCACACTTCCAAGTCACAACAAAGGCCTAAAATTGCAGCGAATGCTTTAGCTATGCAGCCAAAGCTAGAAAGATCCTGGGAGCAGGGATTTGACACCACCATAATCACAACAGGCATTAGTGCGTCCAGCAAATTCTGACCTGAAGCAGCAGTTGAAGGAGGCCCAGAGAGGGAAAGCCAACCCTCATTCCCGCACAAGGCCCAAGCGATCGCATCCCTGCACAGGGCCCACACACACAACTCCCGTCGGTGACACCGTATCTGGATCAGCCCCGAGTACCGACCCAGCGCCGATGTCCTCACACCGCCCTCGGCCCAGGCCTGCGCTTCCCCTCCCCAGCCGCTACCTGGTTAATCGGGAGATCGGCTGGAGSCGAGAAGCTGCCGGCCCCAGGGCCGCGGGGAGGGGGAACAGCGAGGGAGGGGCGGCCCGGCCTCTGCCCCCCGCCCCCGGCGCGGCCCCGCGGCCCTGGGGCTCCCACACTCCGGCGAGCGGGCGGCGCGGAGCCCCCGCCACTCCCCGCCCCATCCCGGCGGGGGAGCCCCGGTACCTTGCGGACCCCCTTGTAGATGTAGAAGTAGAGCTCCCGGCCCACATTGAAGCAGAGCCGGTCCCCGTTGCCGCTCTGGTCGTTGACGTTGACGAAGGAGACGCGGACGGGGTTGGAGCCCTGCGAGTTGAAGGGCACGCGGTTAGGCCGGCTGTACTCCGAATGGCTCAGCAGCTTGTACAGCCCCTCCCGGGTGGTGAACTGGGTCTTAATCTCGTTCATCTCCTTCCCACCTCCCTCCGCCGCCATCTTGGAAAGGAGCGCTCATCCTGCCCCAGTGCCCGGATGTGCCGACACTGCGCAGCCGCCGGCGCGCGCGCGGCTCCTGCGCGCGGGGGCGGGGCGGGGGGGCGGGGCCGGCCCGGCCTGTTTACCGCGCGACTGCGCGCGCGCCGGGCTCGCGCACCCGCGGGGCGGGTGAAGGGGCGGGGCTTGGGCGCTGGGGGCGGGGCCTGGGCCAGGGTGTCGCGGAGTGGCCGAGGGGTCCGGAATGAGGGACAGCAGTGGGACACAGTGTTCGGCCAGCGGGGTCAGCCCGGAGCACCGGCTGCAGCCACAGCACTCTTGGATGTCTCCGGTGAGGGACACTCCACACCCTCCCTGGGCAGCCTGTTCTAGTGCACGGTCACYGCACAGGAAAGAAATTCTTGCTCATCTTCGGGTGGAACTTCCTGGGCATCAGTTTCTGCCCATTGCCTCTTGTGCTATTTCTCGGCACCACCGGGAAGAGCCTGGCTCCATCCTCTGACACGCCCCCTTTAGATATTTGCACTCATTGTTGAGGTCTCAGTCAGCTTTTCTCGAGGCTGAGCAGGCCCAGTTCCCTCTGCCTTACCTCATAAGAGAGATGCTCCAGTCCTTAAATAATTTTTGTAGCTCTCTGCTGGAGCCATTCCAGGAGCTCCATGTCTCTCTCATSCTGCAGAACCCARAAGTGGACACAGCCCTGCATATGTGGCCACAGCAGGGTCACCAACGTGGTGGCTCCACAGGGCAGCTGTTCTGAGGGATGAGAGAGAGTGGGACAAGGGTTTTGTGTGCCCACAGGGACCTGCCACCTCAGGATGTGGGTGTCTGCCCTGACACTGCGTGGGGTGAGGTGGTGCCCGCTGCTGGAGGTGCCAAATTAGAGACAGTGCTGTCCATGTGCAGTGGACAGCACTGTTTTGGGGGCTCCCAAATGGGAGCCCCCATTTGCCATGGGACCATCAAAGCAAGGCATCACCATCCTGGCCACTTGCATTGGCTCGTTTGCCATGGCCCTGGCCAGCTTTGCCCACATGGTAAAGTGCCTGGAAGCCTGGTGATGTGTGCTGTGTACTCTGCTGTGAGAGTCCGTCAGTTCAGGAACAGCAAATCCAGGTGTGCTGTACTTTGACACTTCATGCCAAGCTCATGCTGTCCCTGATGGGGATTGTATCTCCAYCCCTCCTGCTCTGCACCAGCCTCCAACCTGCTGCAGGCAGAGCCAGACCTGGGAATTGGCCTGAGGTGTGAACCTGACAAACTGGTTGTTGGATCACTCAGCTCATTGTTCTCATCATCCTGCACTCACAGAGGCAGCTGTGTTGCATAGTGAACCAGATCAATGTCAGGTGGAGGTGGCACCAGGTTGGGAAGGATTGTATTTGCTGGGCAGGGGGGCAGGACTCTTGCTTCTGACAGCAGTTTAAGTTTRTCTGACTACAATCTGCCTCGTGACTGACTCAAACTGATCTAAGACTGATTTCCAGCTGTGAAGAAAGGCTTTGACCTCTCCTCTACAGGTATTTCCATTACCTGCCTTGCATCAGTTCTAGTAATCATGCAACCAAAAGGTGAGTCAGATCCACCTGAAAATTAACACACACACAGAAATTATGAGTTCTCAGGTAAGCAAAGTGGTGATCAGCAACCAGGTTGATCCAATTCACCACAGAATTGCTGGAGCAGAGTAAGGAGTTGGGAATTTGCAGCTAGGGGAAGATAAGCAGSACAGAGTTAGATCATCTTATGTTAATGATCAAAAACACATTTTCAAGGTATAGTTTCCTGCTGTAGCTGTGTGGCCTTAATGTGGCTGCTTCCAAAGGCATTGTCCTATTCTTTTCTTTCTGGATATGACTGTCTGCTGGTACTCCTTCCTTTACCAGCAGCAGTGCTCCCCTGACCTCAAGAGGAGCCATTTCTGAAAGATAAATTGATAGAGAATTAAACTCCTTGAAAATGTGAAATGAATAGGGTTAAATTAAAAACACCAAGCACTCAAGGGAGGGGGCAGGAATGGAGAGCAGAACCAGAGGGAAGTGGGACTTTCCTTCTTTCCATTAGAKCAGCTCAGCTGAAGAAGTCCACTCAGACTGCAGGGGGTTAAAGGGATTTAGTTTCAAGTCAATTTAGTTCAAAGAGATTTTGTTTGTAGCTGAATACTGTCTTGCTGCTGACCATCAAAATATTAATACAAGGTAGCTAAGAGACATGAAACAGCGAAAGATCTCCAGAACAGAGTATGTATCTGACCGAATATCTGAACAAGCACAGATAATTAGACTTCTAAATGGCCAGGTATTGAAGACTTGCTTGAAATCCTTAAGATAAAGCAAATCAATAATGACCAATAGATCTTGTCAGTGTATCAGCCAGTCCTGCCAGATGGTATTGATGACCTCCTAAAAGCACATAAAGTAGGTAAGCAGACCTGCAATTTTTTTTTTTTTTTTTAAATCATATCAGGAGTGATTGCTTCACCCAGAAATTACATTAATGGACTTCCAGAGACATCAGAATATTTTCAGCCACCCAAAAAGAGCCAGAATAGCAAGGATCTCTGAATAGCAATATTCAAAACAGATAAGAATGTAACAACAACAACAATATTTAAAGAAAAAAGAAGTGTTGCTCCAAGCAGGCATACACAGTATGTCTTATTCATTACCCACTGACAACATTGGATAGATCACTTTGAAGAAGAAAGCAGGCAACTTTGGTAGAGTGACTGTGTGGAATGCAAATCACATTGCAACCACAGCAGGCCATCTGTCACTGATGGAATGAGTGTGATCCAAGGAATAAACAAAGTTAACAAGTACCTGGTTATCAGCAGTACATGATGGTGCAGAAAGTCAAAGAATTGATGTAGTGTTTAACATTTACAAGAAACATCAATAAAAGCTGCTGAGAAATTCCACRGAGAATCCAAGACAAATATTCATTTGAAAAACACAGCTGCAAGTCACAAGAACACTATTGTACAGCCCCATCAACAATGCTCATCAAATTCTAGGGGAAAAAGAGATTACAGAGATAAGTCTTATGAAAAAATTTCCTGTACCGCTTGTAAATTCTTCTGTTTCAAGCTAACCAAAGATGATAGTTCTGAAATGATCCCATGAGGATATCCCAGATTAGTTGTTCTGTATGCACCACACAACCAATAAACTGAAGTCAGTCACAATCACTGCTGTATCGTGCCTTTACTTTTTGCAAATTGTTTTGGCAAATTGGAAAACAGACACGAGCAAAATTCACTAACAGCAATAAAATAGTGTGGTCCTTTGGGATTGCTTTATGCAGGGCATAAATTGGTCCTGCATCTTTTCAGAATGTAATATTGTATTCAATTGTATATTGTATTTCAGAATGTAATAGTGCTTTTACTGGACATGAGAAAATTGCAATCCAAGTACAGTTATGAACAAAACTTTCCTGTGCTTGAAATTGAACGCCGTCTGTTACTTCCCAGAAAGTGCAACAACTGGTATTAGTGATGCTTTTATCAGCTTTTCTGAGACAAAAAAAAAAAAAAGAAAAAAAGAGGATGGTGATTACACYCATACTCCATCAGTCAAACTATCTATTCTAGCATGCACTGCCTGCAGATTATGCTGCAGAAATCAGGAGAGCATCTCTGCACTGTRTCAATTATAGCAGGCCTCTCAAGTCTTTCTGGGACTTCTGATGCCCAAACCAATTTAGGCATTTAGTGTGTGACTGGCTTAAGAGTCAAGAGAGTCAAAAGCTCTGCAACGTGTCAAATTTTAGCAACTTTCAGATGTGTGTGAGTTACTAACAGAGGTACACAGATATGTAAGCGACACATCTGAACTAGGCAAAAGATTGGTGCTGGTGAGAGGATGGCATGCAAGCTYCACTTAATATGGGGAAAAGAAAAAGAATGGCAGTGTTGGAAATATGTTTCCAAGTACTTACATGGTCTTTAAAGTACTTGCTTTCATCATGAGAAAATATTGTTTCTGGCATAGTTTCATAGCTCCTTATTTGCATTAGGAATCTCTTCTTAACYACTGCATACATCTAACATAAAATGCATGAGATAATGCATTATGTATTATAAAGTGAAAGGGTRTTATCAAGGAAGTCTTTGCACTCCTAGGATACATTGCATGTTGTTTGTACTCACATCCCTCCACAAGAGGAGGAAGAGCATATGAAACATTTTTGTTTTGTAGCTGGGAGGTTAGTTGCTGAGAAACAAATGGATATTCCTAAAAACAGACATTTGGATTGAGGAAGGCAAGATAAAAGAAGTCTGCTTTGCAGCTGGGATTCTATGATGGTGAACTCTGTTGTGTCTTTGGAAAACTTCATTCTGTTTGCAATCAGCTCYCTGTGAGTTGTCTCCTGAAAAAAACTACCTTGCCTCCATAGCCAAGAGTGCTGTTCWTGTCAACAACAGTTATTATCTTGAGGCTGTAGTTGTCCTGGAAATTATATTCTTTGAAGATAAGACTGAGATAATGAATTTAATTTAAATCCTATGGAAAGCTGGAGAGATTRGTTTGATATACCTACAAATAGCTTGTGTTTCTAAGATGTGCTACAGCATTATGTACTTCTCAAAACTCCCTAAATATGGAATAAGTATTATCCATACATACAGTACTGCTGTAATCAGCTGAGTAATGACAACCTGTGAATAAATAAGGGTTGATTGTTGGCCAGCACCAATGACTCAATCTCTCACAAAACTGGAATTTCTAGACAGCGTTGCAGTGTGAGAATGTAGTGTCACTGAGAAAAACAAGCACTCCTAAAGTGTGGTCTGCAATAGGCTCTTGAATGTCTGTAACTTRAGAAACAACAGATTCTGCAAATATGTGTTTCAAAATTATTTTCTCTTTCATCAGAACTGGCTATTTCACTCAGCTTGTTTTCATTGGGAAGCTTCTGGTGATGAGAGTGATGATAATGCATGCTTGGTTATTGATGCTTGTTGCAGKTCAGCCAAGCAACCTGCATTTGGTGTGAGCAACAATGAGTTAACAGTCACCCATGCAAGAAAAGGGGCTGCCAGTGCATGATTTAGGAGT